TGGTCGCCTCTCCTTTACCGAGGTTCGTTTCCACTACCCGAGTAGAGCGGATATCGAAGTGCTCAAAGGTGTGACCTTCAGCGTGGAGCCAGGCCAGGTGATTCCTTCAGCTGTTGATAGAGCCAATCTGTGGAGCCTTGTGGTAGACAATGGCTCTGGTTGGCCGCAGTGGAGTTGGCAAATCGACATGCATCTCCCTTATACTGCGTTTTTATGACCCTACGGCTGGGATGATCGCGGTGGATGGGAGGAGTTTGGCGACGCTTAAGGACGACTGTTTGAGGAGGAACATCTCTCTCGTGGCGCAGGTGAATAAGTGCGGTGTCTGGGGATCGAACCTGCGACCTATTAGGAACCCGTGCTCTTCTCAACGTCCATCATGGATAACATTAAATACGGCACGGATGGAGATGTCACTCGCGAGGAGGTGAGGGTCACCCGTTCATAGCAGCATCCGACTACGCAGAGTTCATTGCACAGGTTGAAGCGGCCGCTAGGGCTGCATACTGTCATGAGTTCATCACGTCCTTTCCGGAAGGCTATGACACCCTCGTTGGGGAGAGAGGAGTGCAGCTGAGCGGAGGGTAGGGGAGGCGGAAGAGGAAAGGACGGTGATAGTGACTGGTTCAGGCAGAAGCAACGAGTAGCTATAGCACGGTCCATGATAGCATCCCCGAGGATACTACTACTGGACGAGGCGACAAGTGCTCTTGATGCTGAGAATGAGAGGAAGGTTCAGGAGGCCTTGGATGAGTAGAGCAGGGGAGTTGCGGTGTAGCATCAGGTGTGTCTGGCAGGCTGAGTTCCTCACGAACAACCATAGTGGTCGCGCATCGGCTGTCGACAGTGCAGAACGCTGATGTGGTCGTCTACATGGAGGACGGTCGCGTAGCGGAGATGGGCTCCCATCAGCAGTTAGTGTCGAGGAAGAACGGCAAGTGAGACGACGAAGTCAGCAGCAGTTGAGGAAGGCAGAGCTTGGGTAGGTACGCAACTCTCGTGCGGCTGCAGCTTGATCATGGCTCGACATCGTTTCTGGATTGAATTTTCGAGTACGGTGGAGTTGTGTTGAAAAGTCTCGGGTTGGTACTTGATCCCGTTATGAAGTGACGTACACCAGTCAATGGCCGCAAGCGAGGGTATTCATTACAGCATTTGGGTGTCGCCACCACCAACGAGCGAGATTTCTGAAGAAGTGTTCAAACTAGAGAGGGACGCCCATAAGGCTTGTCCGGCGATGACAGAAGCCACATTCCAACCGCATATCACAATTGTTGGCTCCTTCATGGCGGCTAACGATGAGATGGCGAAGGCCAGGGCCAGGGAGCTCGCTATGCAAGCCACAACGGGCCCGTTCATGGTTGAGTTCGATGCTGTACCTTCGGTGGTTGAGGCTGACAAATGGAATATGGTTGTCGTGTTCTGGATCGACGACAACCATAGTCACTTATTGGCTCTGCACAAGGCGTTTGGAGGCAGTGGGAAAGAGTACACACCCCACATGTCTCTATGCTACGGCTGCTCATCTAAAGAGGAACGCGAAGACCTTGCCGAGGTGATGGCGAAGTCTACAACACTGAGTGGTCGCTGCCGTTTTGATGTTGACTCAGTAGAGCTGTGGAGAACAGAGGGCATCCTCGGTGGTGTTGCTGGTTGGAAGAGAATTGATCGGATTGCTTTGTGAAGAATGATATCTCTTTCTCGTGTTTGTGCACTAGTGTTGGGTTCAACGGAACTGTAGTAATTGACGGTACAGGAAACCGAGTGAGATGAGTATGACCACCGTTTCTTCGTCTCCATTACTGCTTTCTGGGGGGATTATACAGTGTGATAGTGAAGTCTCTAAGGCAACGGACTCCGAGCGAGAGTCGCTACCCTGGTCCTGTCATCGCTTTGGAGGGATAACACCATGGTCAAGGTCAGTGTTGAGTGTTTTCACACAGTTGGAACGAAAGTGTAGTCATAAGCGACCTCCTCGCAGTGATGCCCCAGGAGTAGTTCCTTATCAGAGGATCCCTGTGCCTTCTTACGTATGAAGGTTGACTGGTAACACAAGAGGCTCCTTTGAAATCATAACATTGATAAGTATCTCAGCATCTTATACAACAACAGCATAAAAGTAAACGCAAAAACTCAAGGCGCTGATGACGCACATGAGGCCACTCGGCATGAACTTGCGAGTTTTCACGTACCTGAAGGAAACCACTGGCAGCCGTCACACTAAGGTAGCAATGAACTCACCTCGAGTAGAAAAATACGGCGAGTACGAGCGCAATGGCAGCTAGGCAGAAGAGTCCCGTCAAGTTATCATAGGAAGACCCAAGTTTCGCCGCAGCGAAGACCAGCACGCCAGAGATGGTGCCGGCAATTAGTGACGGCTTACTCTTGGCCTGGACGAACCCTATGGCCTAAAGGTAGACAAAGAGGAAGTCATGATTCTCAACGACTGACAATCTCAACAGCTACACGGTGAATGAACAGGGTCTTCGAGATGTAACCTTACCCCTCCAACGATTAGTAGCAGGGCGTAGAAGAAAGCTTCATCGAATGCGAAGGCGACGGCGCTCATCTCGAGAACAACGATACCGATGGATGAGCTCTTCCAGCAACCAACTCCGTACAACCAAAGACCCGAAGGAATAGCATGCGAAACTCAACAGTGATCAGAGTACACCACTTCGCCATCCGGCTCTTGTCGCCCCTGTTGTCATTATCAATTCTGACGAATGCCGCGAAGATGCCGATGGGCAGTATTTCAAATAACGCCATGAAGGCTCCCGGCATGAACTTGGAAGTCTGCCGGTACCTATGGGGAAAACTCCAGAGACACTAATCGAAACTACCTTAGCCCGGCGATTGACTCATTAACGAAACCACCAATAGAGGGTTGACAACGGCCAAAGCATGGATGTATTCAACTACGATAGGTCGCCAGGTAAGTGGCAAGATTAGACATAACTTCAACTTCACCATCTAGGGGGGACGGTGAGGAGCCGAAGGGGGAGGAGGACATGCTGCTCACGGGGGATACACCACGGAAAGCATTGCCGAACTTGGGCTTAACGAAGGGATCCTCGAATGCAGCAAGGGCCTTCTGGGAGGGCGGCCAGAAGAACACAAATGTTCTGAAACCAACCAGAGCTGAACAGGCCCACGACCGTAGCATAGGAGCTTCCCCCTACCTCGGGAAAAGCGACAAAAAATCTGTGATCGGGAAAGAGTAAACTTTCTTATTATGACGCAGCCGAGTCCAAACACCTTCCCTTCCTGTTCTCCTTCGAAAGGCATTCTGAAGCGCACTACACCGCCACGGTATTTGCTGAGGTGGGCATATATTCAGCTCGGGAACACTGAACTGTCCACAGAGGCCACGATTCCTTCGGGCCTTCGTATCCGCGGGAGGCGTTGTCGTTGTTATGATCTCCAATAAAATCTCAGCATCTGATGATACGGGGAGTTGGGAAGGACCAGCAGTACGACTCTACCAAGTTTCATCTTCATCCAGGTCTGGAACTCAAACCTGATGAGCTTCCCGTGCCAGGCTACCTTCAGCTTGTCGTAGAGGTCGACATTCGCCAAGCTCCTGGATGTTTGTAGCTAAGGAAGAGAAGATAAATTTCCGTAGCAATAGGAACCTTACTCCGTCCTTAGACTCTCCAACGCTGGTATCGTCAAGACCGACCTGGCTCGTATCTTCCTTGGTGGACCTCAAGATACCCTCAACCTCTTTGACAACCGCTCGTCCTCGCCGTCGTCGTGGAGGCGGTCTTTCGTCGTAGAGGAGAATCTCACTGCCGCTCCCCTTCATGTACGTCATCCCCTTCGTGAGATGAACTCTACAGTACAAATGTGGCCATCTACGCACATACGGCCTGGCTTTCTTGTAATAGGGAACATCATCACCAGCCGGTACACATGCTCGGGGTCTACTACACATTCCGACAAGGGAAAATGATGAAACTGGGATGGTGATCATCCCCATAGACCCTTAACGTGGTCAACCAAACAAGTAGGTGATTATGGAAACAGTAACTATTCTATGACGTTGGTGCTGATGGATATCATTCATATCTTGCCTCCACGGACTTCACCAAAGATTCCAACGACTTCCCCTTCACTTGTCGTCGCCATCCTGTGATCCCACCTCCTGCCGATCCACCACCTTTGGCCGCCTTAGCACCGACAGAGGCAGCCTTCTTAAAGAACACTGGAGGGGCCTCAATCACTTCACCGAACGCTGGCTTCACCGTCACCGGCGCTTCCTCCTCCTCCTCATCATCACCAGCCTCATCGTCAGCACCCTTCTTCGTAAGGAGCGGCGGCCCCTCTTGGGTTTCATGTTGTTGTAGAGCAGCCATCTTGGCAAGGGCTTCCTCCAGGCGAGGGATCTTAGGCAGGACCAAAGGCTTCATAAGATTAGGAACACCATCTTCGTCGTAGTCTGGGCCAAACTCAGAACGCTTCTTTTTCCCCTTCCCCTCCTCCTCCTCGTCAATCGTCTGATTCTTCCTCTTCTTGGTAGCAGTCTTCTCTACGACGGGTCCTTTTCCCATCTTCTGTCGTCGGAGATCAGCCTTGTGTTTCATCAAGGCATGCCTCTCACGATTGGTCAGCTTCTTCGCCGCACCAGGCTTGGCTACTCCCACTACTACCTCCGTTGTAGGACCATCGACTTCCCCTTGAGCTCCGGTAGCCTCCCCTCCAGGAACTAGTAGATCTTCGTCATCATTCTTCGGTGCCTCATTGCGGCCTTCAAAGTCCTTCGCCAAGGGAGTCCTGAGATATCACCGACCTCTACTACTTATGATAGCAGCGATGCCATCGCGTGCGAAAAAGTCGATTCCATTATTCATTTGCGACCTCCTTCACGTCTGGTTGCTTCTATCTACATCTCATCGCGACTGTCCAATACATTCAGCAATCATGAGTAAGATCGATCCCAAAATCATTTCAGAAGTACTCGAACGAAAGTCTGCGGCTTACCTCTGTTCAGCGAACTTAGTCACTTTCCTATGTCGGCCTAGTCGACCCCCTCCTCGACGATTCTCGTACTTTCGATGTCTCATTGAGATATGATGAATAGAAGAGGGAAATGTCTCTAAAGAGGTCTTGGAGCAAGGAGTATTCGGCGGAGGGCCTTCTTCTCAGCTACGTGGCCTTTACTGTAACAGTCGGATAAAAGTTTATATTTTGAGGAGCATCGCGACCCGACCGCCCCGGCTGACGACCCGAAGTGGAAGGGCGCGATTCGCAACAATGCGACGATCGGGAGAGATATGCTTCCGCTCGTCAACATTTTTTTCTCTACTGTCAACTTTTCCGCGCTCGCCCTGTCGCCCTGCGGACAAGATTCATATTCCCAAGGGATATGATCCGACTCAGGGTGTGCCGCTTTCTCGTTCGATATGCTTCTTCCACTCATGGACGTAACTGAGAACTCAACACTACGTCGGGTTTCTGGTTCACATGAGTAGCATATTCAAGCTGAATAACAGTTCGGGTTTCGGGTTACCCTTTCTCCGTTTTCACCGGTAGTTTCTTCTTTTTTGGCAGCCGCGAGTTTGGATTGCACTCAATGCTTTACAGCCATTACCCGGGTAACAGCTTTAACTTCTTATTCAGGCTCACGAACAAGCAACGAAGCAATTAAGTTTATCCCTAAATGAAGACCCTTTCCAGAAGACGTGGATTTTAATTATGAAATATTCAAGGACAAGTACGGAGGTGTCCACCAAGGCCCCACCGACTTCTTAGGCTACAGCTTTGTACGTTCAGCGTCAATGCGCCAGGAAATGCGCTTCGACTCATCGAAGAGGAGGTGGATGCCGTTATGAAGAAGTCGACGAAGGATAGGAAAGCCGCCGACCTCGGGTAGACCGAGCAGAATTAGCACCTCCGACGACGACCTCTTCCACAGGTGTGTATTTCCTGAGCCTTTGGGTCTTTCCAGAAGTCTCGTCATCAGACCAGTTTTTTTTTTCAGCCAGGGGACTTGGAAGACACTGAGATGGGTAAGTGGTGGCAAGTTGCCACTGGCAACCTCCGATAGGCTGTTGCCCTTATCCTATAGGCTACCAGCATCCATATAGCTGGCGTGCACCCTGGAGCCCGAGAACCTCTCAGTCTACTCTTCTCGAGGTTCGGCAAGCTTGATCCCGATAGGTACGCTACCACCTCCCTCCTCTCACTACCCGTCCCTCCTCTGCCTCTAGGCGTACTCTTCAAAGAAAAGCCTTTGGAGCTTACTTGGCACCTATCGAGACGGAGACCGGGGGTTGATGATGCCGACATTTTCGAGTCGGCCCTGTTCCCGCCGGTCAGGGACTTTGGAACTCGAGATATTGAGAAGTACAATACACGCCGCTCTCTCCGATTGACTACGGCTGCTGTTTTAATCGAAGTGCTGAGTATTACGAGCCGATGAGGCCACAGAAAAGGCAGAGCAAAGCAAATACTACCTCTAAGCAGGAGGTCCTCCTGCTGCTCGGCGGAAGGTTCCTGAAGCCTCCGCGATGCTTCGCGAGTGGTTACGGAGGACCATCGCGATGCTGGAGCCCAGCCGCTGGGCCCCAGGGAGACGGCTTCCACTGGTGGTGTCCACCGTTCGACGTGGCTACGTGACGTAGCATACGTCGAATATAGACAAGGAGGTGTTGGGAGCCGAGAATATCTCCTGAAGTAGGTTGCCTGGCTGGTGGAGTACCATTCAGTCTCGACTCAGCCGTTTGCCCAGAACCATACTTAGTTACGCAAGAAGATACTTGTCCAATGTTTATATCCAATCAATAGAGTATAGTGTAAACCCAGCAACTTAAAGGAGTACACAGAAGTCTATTGACCCACGGAGAATAACCAACAATACTTACAGATAAGCCTTACTTCTACTCGGTCTTATACAGACGAACTCCGTGATAGGCTACGCAGCTACCACACAGTGAGACAGTATCAAGTTGATACTGTCTCACTGTGTGATACTATCAACGCATGATATGTCTATACACAAAAGATGTCCCAACAGAGGTTGCCATTACAATCACGGCTACTGTACCGGAGTAGGAGGGAGACAGTGATGCTGTCAGCGAGCATACGAGTGATGTCTCTGATGATGATGGATACTGAGAGATGGTTTCTAGCATCCTCCGTGTCGATTTGTGCCAAGGAGGCCACTGATCAGTTGCTCTGCTACAGAGTGTTTGAAAGAATGGCCCAAGCCTCGTAGCTTCTCGGCGCATGTATGCGAGTTGAACTCGCCGAGTTCCAAGTGCAACGTCAACAACACGACTCAGACTCGCATCGATGCACACTAGACTATGTCGGATCAGCTCTAATCTATTGAATTGGCTCTTTCATCATGCATGGAATGTTGTCCACAGGCCAATTCGCTCTGCCAGAGCGTCCAGTGGACCGTCCAGTTGAACTGCGGGGTCTGTGCATGACACAAATCATGAGCACTCGCCATAGTGTGTTGGCTTTCAAGCATCATCACCAAGACTCGGGAAGTTCCTACCCTAGCATAAGTCATCCCTCGCTGGAGACTATTATTCTCGATGGCACAATGATAAACATGTACAGTAGTCGCGTTCCCTCGTATCATTCGTCTATCGAATTTTTGAAGGTCAGTTTGTCACTAAAGTTCGCCATAGCTGTGCATCGTTTCACACTAATTGTTGTTTGCCCAAGAGTTCTGCTCACGCCCGCATAACTCGGACGCAAACGTGATCGATCTGGTCTTGTACACTTGAGCAGAAGGGATTCACAGATCTCTCTAACATGTCAGCTGGGTCCATTTCTATATCCTCTTTATCAGGTTCAACCTGACAGGTTGAGTGACCGAAGAGTAACGGGAGGCACGCTTCATTATTTCTGCACGATAGTAACGGACGCTTTCTCTCTGTCTCGAACTTCGCAGTGTCCTTTGCGAACTCTCGGAGTCCTCGGTCCGAGGATAGAACCTTGACTGTCCCTTCCAGTTGTATCTTTGGCGGCAACTTGTAACAGAAAGAGCAATGATATCAATGCACTCATCATGAGTGACTCATGTGAACTCAAGACACTCTGATGTACTTACCCGTGTAATCTGAATCTTAATCCACCGAAATAGCCTGCCCATTCGCCAGAATATATGATTTTCTGAGCTTATTAAGCTCTCGATGGAACGACTCGCCGAATAGCATACTTCTAAATGGTATATGTAAAATCATACCACTAGAAGGACCAATCGAGCTGAAGGTCTTCTCACGGAGCGTTCATGAAACGATCAACGATAAAAGAGGGCATTCTGCTGTAGAGCGTAGGTTCGAAATAATAGAATAAAAGGAAAGGAGATGAAGAGATAAGCAGGAGAGATAAGAGGAGATGATTCTCTCCACAAAATGAGAGAATCCTTTACGGAGATCGCGGTTTCAACTTGCCAATTCCCACTCGCTTGAGAGTAGGGTCGAACTGGAAATAGTTATCGATCAGTATACGATCGGGAAAGATCCATTCGTTCCTGATAATCTTCTGGATAAGAAGACGACAAACGTCAGATTTATTGGGCACTCTCTTAGCGTAGTGCATGTATCTCATCGAGAATAAGGTCGTGCCTCGAGGGCCCAAGTAAAACTGCAACGGTGGCAATTTGGTCATGTATCGGCAGGGAAAATACCATCTCTTCCGTTCTGGATGGTACACGAAGTCGACATGCTCACCTGCAGCCTTGTCAGTCTGGGCTTCAATATCCTTGATGAGATTGTCGTAGTATAGTCCTGGGACAAGTAGCTCGATGCAACCGGTGTCGAGTAGTGCGTTCATATTCATATTAGAAGTTATGTGTCCATTACCGACTTGTAGCTTATCGATATTTACCGTGTAACGTCCGTGTGTAGAGAAGTCGATATACTTCAATGCACCCTCATATAATCCAGGATCGCCTCCACCCAGGAGTAGGCCTCCATCAGCGGATTCCTCCTTGGGATCAGCGGGAGGATACAAGTAGAGGGCAATAATACCGGTCGATACAGTTCGTGATGATCGCAATTGCGTCATCATGGACGGGAAGTTCACAAAACCTCTATCATAGCCAAGACCCATCAAATTTACCGGAGGATGTGCGAGATCGGGGCGAGGAGTCCATTCGAATACCAGTCCGAAAGTGAGGTTCTGCGGCAAATGACCCACCGTTAACTCCGCTTTATGCTGAAACGTCTTCACCGTCATTCCTCCACCGAAAGTAACAGTTCTCGTTACCTTACTCACAGAGCAAGGCGGAGAACATTCGAAACACCCCATGGGCCAGTCCTTGCAGAGGATTCTACCGTCTTTCTCGAGCCAATGCTTCCAGATAAGGAAAAAAGAATCAGATCCAGTGTCAACGAGAACATCTAGCTTCTGGCCATTCTTGTCGACCAGAGTATGAAACAATCCGAAGCCGAATCCGCGTACATCTTTGAGCCTCACATCGAGCTTGAGAGTATTTCCTCGGGTGACCTTCAACACGCCAAATACATAAACTAAGGCGAGCAGACGCATAGGCATAGGCAGAGGAAGAGACATTTCGGTCGTTATTTTGCCAAAAATTCAACTTTGTAACATTCCGGATTCGTTCCATGTTATGATACATCATTGTAACCGTGACAATGTCACGTCATCCGCGATGACTGTGCGGCCACCAAGACATGCCTCAGGCCAAGCGAACTCGAGATAAGAAGATCGATTTCGTTGGCACGAGCGAAGTTACCCT